GATAGGACAATCTGAAAGGGAGGCAGTAGTTTAGGGGGACATCTTGATAGGACAATCTGAAAGGGAGGCAGTAGTGTAGGGGGACATCTTGATAGGACAATCTGAAAGGGAGGCAGTAGTGTAGGGGGACATCTTGATAGGACAATATGAAAGGGAGGCAGTAGTGTAGGGGGACATCTTGATAGGGCAATCTGAAAGGGAGGCAGTAGTGTAGGGGCACATCTTGATAGGGCAATCTGAAAGGGAGGGAGTTGTGTAGGGGGGCATCTTGATAGGACAATCTGAAAGGGAGGGAGTAGTGTAGGGGGGCATCTTGATAGGACAATCTGAAAGGGAGGCAGTAGTGTAGGGGGACATCTTGATAGGACAATATGAAAGGGAGGCAGTAGTGTAGGGTGGGACATCTTGAAAGGGCAATATGAAAGGGAGGCAGTAGTGTAGGGGGGCATCTTGATAGGACAATCTGAAAGGGAGGCAGTAGTGTAGGGGGACATCTTGATAGGACAATATGAAAGGGAGGCAGTAGTGTAGGGGGACATCTTGATAGGACAATCTGAAAGGGAGGCAGTAGTGTAGGGGGACATCTTGATAGGACAATCTGAAAGGGAGGCAGTAGTGTAGGGGGACATCTTGATAGGACAATATGAAAGGCAGGCAGTAGTGTAGGGGGACATCTTGATAGGGCAATATGAAAGGGAGGCAGTAGTGTAGGGGCACATCTTGATAGGGTAATCTGAAAGGGAGGCAGTAGTGTAGGGGGACATCTTGATAGGACAATCTGAAAGGGAGGCAGTAGTGTAGGGGCACATCTTGATAGGGCAATCTGAAAGGGAGGCAGTAGTGTAGGGGGACATCTTGATAGGGCAATATGAAAGGCAGGCAGTAGTGTATGGGGACATCTTGTTAGGGCAATCTGAAAGGGAGGCAGTAGTGTAGGGGCACATCTTGATAGGGCAATCTGAAAGGGAGGCAGTAGTGTAGGGGGGATGATAATATGGCACCGAATCCTTTAAGTACTTAAGTAGAGATTTGATATTGACAAATTTACGCGTGCACATATTCTGTGATGTGTGACAGAAATAATTTGTCGCATATTCTGTGATGTGTGACAGAAAAAATTTGTCACATATTCTGTGATGTGTGACAGAAATAACTTGTCACATATTCTGTGATGTGTGACAGAAATAATTTGTCACATATTTTGTGATGTGTGACAGAAATAATTTGTCACATATTTTGTAATGTGTGACAGAAATATTTTATCAAATTGGAGTCAGATAAATCATTGTTTAGTGTCATCATATTTATAATATGGGGAGAACATGACCTTTAACATACACAGTAGAAATTAGGGGAAAACCTGAAGTATAACACAAAGAATTGGGAAACCCTGAAATATAACACAAAGAATTGGGAAACCCTGAAATATAACACAAAGAATTGGAGAAACCATGAAATATAACACAAAGAGTAAGGAAAAACATTAAATGAAGACAAAAAATGGACGCTAAGAAACGTTTGGTCGAAAATTAAGAGAGAAAAACTTTTTCTTTGAGGAAGATGCCATGTGTGGATAACTTGACATCTGCCATGTGTGCATAACTTGACATCTTTTGTGTGTGGATAACTTGACATCTGCCATGTCTGGATAACTTGACATCTGCCGTGTCTGGATAACTTGACATCTGCCGTATCTGGATAACTTGACATATGTCGTGTGTGGATAATTTGACATCTGCCGTGTGTGAATAACTTGACATCTGCCGTGTCTGGATAACTTGACATCTGCCGTGTCTGGATAACTTGACATCTGCCGTGTCTGGATAACTTGACATCTGCCGTGTCTGGATAACTTGGCATCTTGACACTTTATCATATAGAACACCCTAACTTACCATGTATTAATTTTTATTTTCCCAGGATTACATCAAACCATAGCATTACATCACACCATTGCATTACATCACACCATTTCATTACATCACAAAATTGCATTACATCATACAATGTCATTACATCACACCCTTGCATTACATCACACCATTCTGATACATCACACCATTGCATTACAGCACACCATTATGATACATCAAACCATTGCATTACAGCATATCATACCATTGCCTTACACCTCAGCCTTACATTTCATTACATCACTGCATTATATCCCACTAGTGCATTAAATCACACCATTGCAATACATCACACCATTGCATTTCATTACACCATTGCATTACATCACACCATTGCATTATATTACACAATTACATTACATCATTGTATTACATTATACTATTACATTTCATTACACCATTGAATTACATTACAATACATGTGGACTATTCCAAAAGCAGATGAACTTACCTGTCTCTATAAGGGGTCTTCACATACAGTTCGAAATGTTTATTTCTTTTGTAGATGGACGCATTGAGGGCGTTAAAGAAGAACTCTCCATCAGAAACCTGCAGTTTGTCATAGAACTCGTCTAGACGGCTGGGATACAGAGGCATAGAGGAAAAGCCCATATCCAGGGTAACCTCAGTCGCTTTGTCCAGTAGTTTCGTTTTCGTCGTAGCGTCCAGCCACTCCAGCCCTTCAAGGTTTGAAATGAACTCCATTTTAACTTTGTAAAATGTGTGAAGTATCTGTTGGATTTGGAAGAATAGAAGTAGTCTTCACACTGGATACATTATGAAACTAGCAAATGTCCCTGAACTGCTTGATGAAAGTTTCAAAATCCTTTTACAATAGGATGTAACATTTCAAAAGAAACTTTGCATATAATAAATTAGAAGATCATTTATTCAATGTAGTATTTAATTTCTCCCCAGCCTCTTCCGAACGCCAATAGAAAAACAGGAATGGATTATTTAAATAGCAGCCATGAATTGTCTTTATCTTTTAGGGCGTCTCCTCTGAAGGGCGTTTCTTTTGGTCCCTGGGCAGAGGGCGCGGGCTTTAATTTCTTAAATAGATAGGATTTTATGTGCGAACTTCATTAAATAGATCCAACTTTTTCAGCTTCTTAGCATTTTATTTTGTACGCCTAGTGTACATTAGTACAAGCAACCTTCAATGATACTTGCTAAGTGCGTGCCTAGTGTACACTTGTACAACCAACCTTCAATGATATTTGCTAAGTGCGTGCCTAGTGTACACTTGTACAACCAACCTTCAATTATACTTGCTATGTGCGTGCCTAGTGTACACTTGTACAACCAAGCTTCAATGATAGGCCTACTTGCTAAGTATTGGGGTACGAACAGTTTTTAAATGAAATATGTTCAATGTGCATATGTTGTTTTTGTCTGGTTCTCTCTCTCTCTCTCTCCCTTACTTTCTCGTAGTTAGCGTGCAAGGATATGTTTCAAACGCATAATTTCTCTGTACGTCTTTCTGTCATTTAAAAACTAATTGAGTATCAGTACCCTGCAAGTACACTACATGTTTTATTCATTGGATTGAATTGTACCTTCGTCATATGACGTCTATGACATTTGAAGTTTACCAAGCTGACCTAGTTAATTAACCTAGTTTGGTTAGTTAACCTAGTTTGCCTAGTTGCCCTAATTGACCTAATTTGTCTATTTGACCGTATTTGCCTAGTTGAATCAGTTTACTAAGTCAATCTGATTGACCTAGATCACCTAGTTGATCTAGTTGACCTATTTGACTTTCCTGACAATGACAAAGAAACGTCAGTCATTTAGTTATCAGTCACACTGCAGTGTACTGTACGGGTAACATTAGTATACCGTACTGTAACTGTGTTTGCGTGGCAAACAGCCATCAGGTGATAATGTATTCTATTTTTACACCAACCATTTATCTTGTTTGTTTAGGTCAACCATGTTTTTAAAGTGGTGTGTATTAAGCTAACTTTGAAATGTCATCAAATTGCTTTTCATAGCAAGATTTTGGGCTACATTTATGGGTTAAACTCTAGAAATAAGCATGATTTGGGGCAACATGTATTCAAATTTTTAGTGACTCGTCACAAACATTTGGCGATGTATCCTGATCCGCGATGGGTTATGGAACATAATCTCGAGAATTTTCAATATGTTTCTTCAAACGTATGTCAATTTGAAACTATACATGTACATTCAATGTATGCCATTTGAAACTATACATGTACATTCACTGTATGTCAACGGTGCATAGACCTCGGGCGTCACGTGTTCCCAGTAGTGAAAAGTAGCTATGACTTATCCGAGATGCAGAAGTGTCAGTACTGTTAGTTCTGGCACAAACTGTATTTGAGCTGAACGTTAGAACGATCGCCAAGGCTCCACATCGTTAGGCCCTACATTCCTAGCTTTACATCGCCAGGCTCTACATCTCTAGGCTCTACATTGCTAGGCTCTACATTGCTAGGCTCTACATCTCTAGGCTCTACATCGCCAGGTTCTACATCTCTAGGCTCTACAACTCTAGGCTCTACATCTCTAGGCTCTACATCGTTAGGCTCTACATCTCTAGGCTCTACACATCTAGGCTCTACAGCGCCAGGCTCTACAACTCTAGGCTCTACATCTCTAGGCTCTATATCTCTTTGCTCTACATCTCTTTGCTCTACATCTCTTTGCTCTACATCTCTAGGCTCTATATCTCTAGGCTCTACATCGCTAGGCTCTACATCGCTAGGCTCTACATCGCTAGGCTCTACATCGCTAGGCTCTACATCGCTAGGCTCTACATCTCTAGGCTCTACATGCCAGGCTCTACATCTCTAGGCTCTACATCTCTAGGCTCTACATCGCTAGGCTCTACATCTCCAGGCTCTACATCGCTAGGCTCTACATCTCTAGGCTCTACATGCCAGGCTCTACATCTCTAGGCTCTACATCTTTAGTCTCTACACCTCTAGGCTCTACATCGCTAGGCTTTACGTCGCCAGGGTCTACATCTCTAGGCTCTACATCGCTAGGCTCTACGTTTCTAGGCTCTACATCTCTAGGCTCTACATCGCCAGGCCCTACCTGTTCAGCTGTAAATGCCTTATACTTCTCCTGGATAAACAGGGTGTTGACAGGAGACGGAAAGAAGTCTTTAACTTTCTCCAGGCACATCTCCATCCGCGAATCAAGCCTCGTGGCGCTACCGGTGAGTCTCATCACCTGGACGAACTGCTTGCTGTAGATGTCCGGAAGGTAGTCTGTGTGTGCCGAGATGAAGTACCACATCAGGTAGTTGGCCAGTGTTCTGAAGGGAGATGAGCATGGCAGAGTCAAGATGGGGCATTTACTGTTTCATCCCTTTTTTAAATTTAACACTAGATTTCCTGTCAACTTCAATTAAGAGTATTAATGTCATGGCCGACTGAAGACGTTATACTATTGAAGTAGAGTTGAAGCAGTCCGAATGGATCTCTGGGCATCCATTCAAGAGGCGAGCTTATATGGCGGGGGAGAGCTTATATGGCGGGGCAGAGCTTATATGGCGGGGCAGAGCTTATATGGCGGGGCAGAGCTTATATGGCGGGCAGGGAAATGTAAACGTTTATTTTAATGTTGGCGAGAGGCACGATCATTTTTCTATCAATCAAGAGTTTTGGACAGTCAATTCAACAAGTCCATTCAACAAATCAATTCAACAAATCAATTCAACAAGTCAATTCAGCAAATAAATTCAGAAAGTAAATTCAGCAAATAAATTCAGCAAATAATTTCAACTAATAAATTCAGCAAATAAATTCAACAAATAATTTCAGCAAATAAATTGAACAAATAAATTGAACAAATCAATTACAAAAATAATCTGCTGATTGATTTTATCATTTTCTGTCACTATTGTTATGACAGTTTGACAAATTTTCAAAAGGTGAAGGTCATTTTTCGAAGGTTTTTTTTACCGATAATCATTGCTGTTTGTACGTTGTAGGGGAATAGAGGAATCCATGTGGACCAGATTGCTTGTTTGTACGTTGTAGGGGAATAGAGGAATCCATGTGGACCAGATAGCTTGTTTGTACGTTGTAGGGGAATAGAGGAATCCATGTGGACCAGATTGCTTGTGTGTACGTTGTAGGGGAATAGAGGAATCCATGTGGACCAGATTGCTTGTGTGTACGTTGTAGGGGAATAGAGGAATCCATGTGGACCAGATTGCTTGTGAGTACGTTGTAGGGGAATAGAGGAATCCATGTGGACCAGATCAAACATTTCAATGCAACATGTTGCCTGCAGGCTCTAGGTTGACCACTCTTGTTATAGTGCCTGCATGAGACGTGCCTAGGTTAGGTGCCCAGCTTAGAGCGCCTGCATGAGACGTGCCTAGGTTAGGTTTCCGGGTTAAGGTGTCTTCATGTGATGTGCCTAGATTAGGTTCCCAGGTTAGAGTGTCTGCATGAGATGTGCCTAGGTTAGGTTCCCAGGTTAGAGTGTCTTCATGATATGTGCCTAGATTAGGTTCCCAGGTTAGAGTGTCTTCATGAGATGTGCCTAGATTATGTTCCCAGGTTAGAGTGTCTGCATGAGATGTGCCTAGGTTAGGTTCCCAGGTTAGAGTGTCTTCATGAGATGTGCCTAGATTAGGTTCCCAGGTTAGAGTGTCTTCATGAGATGTGCCTAGATTAGGTTCCCAGGTTAGAGTGTCTTCATGAGATGTGCCTAGATTAGGTTCCCAGGTTAGAGTGTCTGCATGAGATGTGCCTAGGTTAGGTTCCCAGGTTAGAGTGTCTTCATGAGATGTGCCTAGGTTAGGTTCCCAGGTTAGAGTGTCTTCATGAGATGTTCCTAGATTAGGTTCCCAGGTTAGAGTGTGTGCATGAGATGTGCCTAGGTTAGGTTCCCAGGTTAGAGTGTCTTCATGAGATGTGCCTAGATTAGGTTCCCAGGTTAGAGTGTCTTCATGAGATGTGCCTATGTTAGGTTCCCAGGTTAGAGTGTCTGCATGAGATGTGCCTAGGTTAGGTTCCCAGGTTAGAGTGTCTGCATGAGATGTGCCTAGGTTAGGTTCCCAGGTTAGAGTGTCTTCATGAGATGTGCCTAGATTAGGTTCCCAGGTTAGAGTGTCTGCATGAGATGTGCCTAGGTTAGGTTCCCATAGGTTAGAGTGTGTTCATGAGATGTGCCCCCCCCCCCCAACTGAGCATAGATATACAACTCACTCCTGGTCAGTTTCTTCCAGTAACGTGTTTAAAGCCTCGAAGTAGGCAACAGAGAAACACTGGACATTTGTCTGTGGTGATAAGTGCTCAATCTTCAAGAGATCTTTCAAATAGTTCTCCACAAATATCTGTTTGAGAAACATGCACATATGAACACACGAGTTTAAGCAATAAGCTACGGATTTAATTTTATTACTATTGTTTAAAACACATAAGTGTTGAGATTGCATTTAAACACTTAAGCGTCGTCATTACATTTAAACACATACGTGTTGTCATTACATTAAACACATGAGTGTTGTCATTACATTAAACACATAAGCGTTGTCATTACATTTAAACACATACGTGTTGTCATTACATTAAACACATAAGTGTTGTCATTACATTTAAACACATAAGTGTTGTCATTACATTTAAACACATACGTTTTGTCATTACATTTCAGCACAATGACAAGAAGATAAAACACAATTTGTTCTCAAAACTCTGAACCAACAAGAAACTTTTGTTTGCTGCAGTCAAGTTGCTAAGCTATAGCTTCCATTAAATTGGCTATCATGAACTTGCTAAGCTATAGCTGCCATTGAATTGGCTACCATGAAGTTTCTAACTACTGGCTACCATTAAATTGGCCTCTGTGAAGATTTTTAGCGCTAGCAACCATTAAATTGGCCACCGTAAAGATGCTGAACTCCAGCGACCATTAAATTGGCTCTAGCCATCATTAATTTGGCTACCAAATATAATTTCAAATAATTGATTGACTTTGAATGGCAAACTAAAGCAAACAGCACCAAAGAGCAAGAGCTGAGTAAAACCCGAACATTTCTTTACCCAGTAACCGATTTTTTCTTGGAACTCCATCAAGTCCACACTTTTGACTACGTCATCTTCTGTGTTGTGGTTGGACGCCACTTGGTGATTGAGTAGCTGTTCCCAGGGGGGGGGGGGCACGTGAAAAGATCTTTACGGTAATTTAAAACAAGAAGTCATTGAATGTGAGGAAGTGAACTATTGGACCAAGGGGAGATCATGTGAGGAAGTGATCTAATGGACCAAATGGAGATAATGTGAGGAAGTGAACTATTGGACCAAGTGGAGATAATCTATTGGCAACTCTGACATCACACTCTCTTCCTCTGCCAGAAACCTTGGAGTCACACTTACGGACACCCTCTCCATGGACAAACATGTCATGAATATATGTAGATCAGCATAGAACGAAATTAGAAAAATCATCACCATTAGACAGCTCCTCTCCTTTGATGCCACAAAAACTCTCGTCTCTTCACTCATTCTTTCAAACTTTGACTACTGTAACACTCTTCTCGCAGGCATTCCTCAACACCACATAGACAAACTTCAGAAGGCACAGAACTCAGCATGCAGACTCATTTTTAAATCAAAGAAACATGACCACATTCAACCACACATGCGGCAACTCCACTGGCTTCCAATATCCTCTCGCATCAAATACAAGTCTGCCAATCTATGCTTCAATTCGTTCAGTGACCCTCACTTTCCTGTCTATCTCTCTGAACTGTTGCTTCCTTACATCCCCACAAGACAACTACGCTCTTCAATTGACAATAGAACCCTCTCAATCCCAAGAACCAAAACTAAGACCATCGGTGAACGCTCCTTCTACTTCCATGCGCCCACGTTCTGGAACCAGCTCCCCTTCCATATCCGTCATTGTGAAACCTCGTCCACTTTTAAAAAGTCCCTTAAAACCCATCTGTTTAGGTCCGCCTATGACCTGTGATGCACCCTCCTTGCCCTGCCTCATTTTCTGTCTCGGGTTAATCCTGTAATATAGGCCAAAACGTGCCAAAGTGTCCTCGTTTTATAGCCATTTTAATTGTTTCTATAGTATAGTAGTTACTATCCTAATGTCTCATTTTTATTTTAGTTAGTTTACATGTTTTTAATAATTGTAAATGTGCCAAAGTGTCCTCGTTTTATAGCCATTTTAATTGTTTCTATAGTATAGTAGTTACTATCCTAATGTCTCATTTTTATTTTAGTTAGTTTACATGTTTTTAATAATTGTAAAGCGCTTAGAGCTTTAAGGTAAGCGCTATATAAAAATGCCTAAATAAATAATAAATAAATAAATAATGTGAGGAAGTGAACTATTGGACCAAGTGGAGATAATGTGAGGAAGTGATCTTTTGGACCAAATGGAGATAATGTGAGGAAGTGAACTATTGGACCAAGTTGAGATAATGTGAGGAAGTGAACTATTGGACCAACTGGAGATAATGTGAGGAAGTGATCTATTGAACCAAGTGGAGATAATGCGAGGAAGTGAACTATTGGACCAAGTGGAGATAATGTGAGGAAGTGAACTATTGGACCAAGTGGAGATAATGTGAGGAAGTGATCTATTGGACCAAGTGGAGATAATGTGAGGAAGTGAACTATTGGACCAAGTGGAGATAATGTGACAAAGTGAACTATTGGACCAAATGGAGATAATGTGAGGAAGTGAACTATTGGACCAAGTGGAGATAATGTGAGGAAGTGAACTATTGGACCAAGTGGAGATAATGTGAGAAAGTGAACTATTGGACCAAGTGGAGATAATGTGACAAAGTGAACTATTGGACCAAGTGGAGGTAATATGAGGAAGTGAACTATTGGACCAAGTGGTGATAATGTGAGGAAGTGAACTATTGGACCAAGTGGAGATAATGTGAGGAAGTGAACTATTGGACTGAGTGGAGATAATGTGAGGAAGTGAACTATTGGACCAAGTGGAGATAATGTGAGGAAGTGAACTATTGGACCGAGTGGAGATAATGTGAGGAAGTGAACTTTTGGACCAAGTGGAGATAATGTGAGGAAGTGAACTATTGGACCGAGTGGAGATAATGTGAGGAAGTGAACTATTGGACCAAGTGAAGATAATGCGAGGAAGTGAACTATTGGACCAAGTGGAGATAATGTGACAAAGGGAACTATTGGAATAAATTGAGATAATGTGAGGAAGTGAACTATTGCGACATGAATCATTTAAATTACATTTGACAACCAGCATATCATTGAATGTATCGACTTTCAGCTGCGACCATTCGGTTGTTGTTTAATCAGAGACAAGACTCTTACATTGGGAACATTGTCCCTGTCTAAGGGAATGTACGCAGTTTGTCGGAAACACCACAGGCCGGGACATTTCCTGATCTGTCGGGGATGCCGGGACGGGTGGTGCAGAAATCGGGATTGTCCCGGGTAAATCGGGACGTCTGGTCACTGTACATTAGGTCAATCGTGAGAAAAATTAGGTCATTTCTAGAATAGGTTCTTACCTACAACTTTAGCAGGCTCTTTACATACGGTGATATATTCTTAACAACTTATTTAGACCCATTTTAATTATTATTATTAAGGTGGTTTTGTATAGCGCTGTACCCCAGCCTAGGGCTAGACTCACTGCTGTACCCGAGCCCAGGGCTAGACTCACTCTGTACCCCAGCTTAGGGCTAGATTCATTGCTGTACCCGAGCCTAGGGCTAGACTCACTGCTGTACCCCAGCCTAGGGCTAGATTCATTGCTGTACCCCAGCCTAGGGCTAGACTCACTGCTGTACCCCAGCCTAGGGCTAGACTCACTGCTGTACCCCAGCCTAGGGCTAGATTCACTGCTGTACCCCAGCCTAGGGCTAGATTCACTGCTGTACCCCAGCCTAGGGCTAGATCCCCTCTGTACCCCAGCTTAGGGCTAGATTCATTGCTGTACCCCAGCCTAGGGCTAGACTCACTGCTGTACTCCAGCCTAGGGCTAGACTCACTGCTGTACTCCAACCTAGGGCTAGACTCACTGCTGTACCCAAGCTTAGCGCTAGACTCACTGCTGTACCCCAGCCTAGCGCTAGATTCACTGCTGTACCCCAGTCTAGGGCTAAACTCACTGCTGTACTCCAGCCTAGGGCTAGACTCACTGCTGTACCCCAGCTTAGGGCTAGACTCACTGCTGTACCCCAATCTAGGGCTAGACTCACTGCGTTTCAAATAAAAATTAGCAATTACAGAAAATTATACATTTTAAAACTACAATAGGTAAAAAGCTTGCCCTCACCCACCCAAGAATTATCTACCCCTGTCGAGCCATGGACATCACCCCACCCAAGTACTATCTACCCCTGTCTAGCCATGGACATCACCCCACCCAAGTACTATCTACCCCTGTCTAGCCATGGACATCACCCCACCCAAGTACTATCTACCCCTGTCTAGCCATGGACATCACCCCACCCAAGTACTATCTACCCCTGTCGAGCCATGGAAACCATCCCCCCCCCTTCCCCCCAAGTACTATCTACCCCATGTTTAGCCATGGACAGCACCCAGCAGCATCGAGCGTTGTTGATCAGTCAGAGGTGGGAGGAGAATGAGTCGGTAGAGTTCAAGGTGAAGAGATGGGTCTTGGAGACAATGTGAAGAGATGGGTCTTGGAGGCAATGTGAAGAGATGGGTCTTGGAGGCACTTTTGAGGTTAGGGATGCTCGTTATATTGCGGATGTGTAAGGGGGAGAGAATTTCAATAAGAGAAAGATCGTTCACCATATGCTTTAGTGCGTGTTCGGGGAAAAGAAAGAATTCGCGTGTCTGCGGAGGAACGAAGCTTTTAAAGGGGTGAATAGACATACAGAAGTTCAGTAAGATTTACCATATGTTCTTAACTAAAACTTAATACCCTAACCCTTAATATATGTTCTTAACAACTTAACTAGCCCCTTTATATAACATGTTCTTAACAACTTAACTCGCCCCTTTATGTAACATGTTCTTAACAACTTAACCAGCCCCTTTATATAACATGTTCTTAACAACTTAACTAGCCCCTTTATATAACATGTTCTTAACAACTTAACCAGCCCCTTTATATAACATGTTCTAAACAAATTAACTAGCCCCATTATATAACATGTTCTTAACAACTTAACTAGCCCCTTTATATAACATGTTCTTAACAACTTAACTAGCCCCTTTATATAACATGTTCTTAACAACTTAACTAGCCCCTTTATATAACATGTTCTTAACAACTTAACTAGCCCCTTTATATAACATGTTCTTAACAACTTAACTAGCCCCTTTATATAACATGTTCTTAACAACTTAACTAGCCCCTTTATATAACATGTTCTTAACAACTTAACTAGCCCCTTTATATAACATGTTCTTAGCAACTTAACTAGCCCCTTTATATAACATGTTCTTAACAACTTAACTAGCCCCTATATATAACATGTTCTTAACAACTTAACTAGCCCCTTAATATAACATGTTAAAAAAACCCACCAAATGTAAGGTCCAGTGAGCAATACCTGAAACAATTTCGACTCAAACACATAAACATCTTTGAGTTTCCTCATGTCCAGTTCCTCATTCCCCGCCAGGAGGCGCACGACCGTTTGGGAGGCATTCACAACAGCTTCCATGACATCAGATCTCTTAAACTTAGTGGATCCCCGTATGAAAGATGGCGGCCGAAACTGAAAGATTTCAATAAACAGTGACTTGTCATTGATGACCCTAGTTGAAACAAGCAATAAACAGTGTCTTGTCATTGATGACCCCTGTTGAGACAAGCAATTAACAGTGTCTTGTCATAGATTACCCTAGTTGAGACAATCAATAAACAGTGTCTTGTCATTGATGACCCTTGTTAAGACAATCAATAGACAGTGTCTTGTCATAGATTACCCTTGTTGAGACAATCAATAAACAGTGTCTTGTCATTGATGACCCTTGTTGAGACAATCAATAAACAGTGTCTTGACATTGATGACCCTTGTTAAGACAACCAATAAACAGTGTCTTGTCATTGATGACCCTTGTTAAGACAACCAATAAACAGTGTCTTGTCATAGATTACCCTTGTTGAGACAATCAATAAACAGTGTCTTGTCATTGATGACCCTTGTTAAGACAACCAATAAACAGTGTCTTGTCATTGATGACCCTATTTGAGACAAGTAATAAACAGTGTCTTGTCATAGATTACCCTTGTTGAGACAATCAATAAACAGTGTCTTGTCATTGATGACCCTTGTTGAGACAAACAATTAACAGTGTCCTGTCATTGATGACCCTTGTTAAGACAACCAATAAACAGTGTCTTGTCATTGATGACCCAATTTGAGACAAGTAATAAACAGTGTCTTGTCATAGATTACTCTTGTTGAGACAATCAATAAACAGTGTCTTGTCATTGATGACCCTTGTTGAGACAATCAATAAACAGTGTCTTGACATTGATGACCCTTGTTGAGACAATCAATAAACAGTGTCTTGTCATTGATGACCCTTGTTGAGACAAGCAATAAACAGTGTCTTGTCATTGATGACCCTTGTTGAGACAAGCAATAAACAGTGTCTTGTCCCTGATGACCCTTGTTGAGACATTCCAGAGACGCTGGCCAGACGCACTGGGTAATTAAATAAATGGTACGACCAGAGATTCAATCTTTTGCTGGTGGCTCAATATTTTAACTATAAAGGGGCACTATTTAACTATAAAGGGGCACTATTTAACTATATAGGGGCACTATTTAACTATAAAGGGGCACTATTTAAATATAAAGGGGCACTATTTAACTATAAAGGGGCACTATTTAACTATAAAGGGGCAGTATTTAACTATAAAGGGGCACTATTTAACTATAAAGGGGCAGTATTTAACTATAAAGGGGCACTATTTAACTATAAAGGGGCACTATTTAACTATAAAGGGGCACTATTTAAATATAAAAGGGCAGTATTTAACTATAAAGGGGCACTATTTAACTATAAAAGGGCACTATTTAACTATAAAGGGGCACTATTTAACAATAAAGAGTCCCTATTTAACTATATAGGGGCACTATTTAACTATAAAGGGGCATTATTTAAAAATAAAGGGGCAGTATTTAACTATAAAGGGGCAGTATTTAACTATAAAGGGGCATTGTTTAACTATAAAGGGACACTATTTAACAATAAAGATGCACTATTTAACAATAAAGGGGCTCTATTTAACAATAAAGGTGCATTATTTAACTATAAAGGGGCTCTATTTAACAATAAAGGTGCATTATTTAACTATAAAGGGGCACTATTTAAAAATAAAGGGGCACTATTTAACAATCAAGGGGCACTATTTAACTATCGAGTGGCAGTATTCAAATATAAAGGGGCAGTATTTAACTATAAAATGGCACTATTTAACTATATAGGGGCACTATTTATTTCTAAAGAGGCATTGTTGAACTATATAGGGGCACTTACTTCTATGGCAACAAATGATCCATTTCTCACTACGGACGTTTCAAAGAAAGCGTTTAACCCCATCCTGTGAAGACGCTGTATGACGTCATCTAGGGACCAACTTTGTCCGTTCCACTTGTCCAGTCCACGCCTGGTCACATTCCAAGAACCCAGTTCGTTCATTATCTATTGGGAACAGAAAACATGAGAGATGAAAACAATGAAATATGTCAGTACTGTGAGTATTGGCACAAACTGTATGTCGCTATTAAAACAATGAAATATGTCAGTACCGTGAGTATTGGCACAAACTGTATGTCGCTATTAAAACAATGAAATATGTCAGTACCGTGAGTATTGGCACAAACTGTATGTCACTATTAAAACAATGGAATATGTCAGTACCGTGGGTATTGGCACAAACTGTATGTCGCTATTAAAACAATGAAATATGTCAGTACCCTAAGTATTGGCACAAACTGTATGTCGCTATTAAAACAATGAAGTATGTCAGTACTGTGAGTATTGACACAAACTGTATGTCGCTATTAAAACAATGAAATATGTCAGTACCGTGAGTATTGGCACAAACTGTATGTCGCTATTAAAACAATGGAATATGTCAGTACCGTGAGTATTGGCACAAACTGTATGTTGCTATTAAAACAATGAAATATGTCAGTACCGTGAGTATTGACACAAACTGTATGTCGCTATTAAAACAATGAAATATGTCAGTACCCTAAGTATTGGCACAAACTGTATGTCGCTATTAAAACAATGAAGTATGTGAGTACCGTGAGTATTGGCACAAACTGTATGTCGCTATTAAAACAATGACATATGTCAGTACCGTGGGTATTGGCACAAACTGTATGTCGCTATTAAAACAATGAAATATGTCAGTACCCTAAGTATTGGCACAAACTGTATGTCGCTATTAAAACAATGAAATATGTCAGTACCGTGAGTATTGACACAAACTGTATGTCGCTATTAAAACAATGAAATATGTCATTATTGTAAGTATTGACACAAACTGTATGTCGCTATTAAAACAATGAAATATGTCAGTACCGTGAGTATTGACACAAACTGTATGTCGCTATTAAAACAATGAAGTATGTCATTATTGTAAGTATTGACACAAACTGTATGTCGCTATTAAAACAATGAAGTATGTCATTATTGTAAGTATTGACACAAACTGTACGTCGCTATTAAAACAATGAAGTATGTCATTACTGCATTGATGAATGTTGTTTGTAGTGTAATTAATCTTTACCAGGAAAAGGCGGGACGTGCGCTGGGCCCGCACACGATCGATGTCCATACAGGAACGGTAGAATGTTCTTAACTTAGCGATGGCACTAGAGTATTGGTCCTTCAGCTCATATTGATTGGACGACAGGAGCTTCAAGACAGTGATTGTGAAACAATGATAGGATGATAGAAGGGATCACAGTGATTGTGAATCAATGATTGGATGATACGAGCTTTAAGACAGTGATTGTAAAACAATGATAGGATGATAGAAGCTTCATCACAGTGATTGTAAATAGGAGCTTCAAGACAGTGATTGCGAAGAAATGATTGGAAGATGTGAGTTAAAGATAGTGATTGTAAAAAGATGATTGCATGATAAGAGCTAAAAGAAAGTGAATAAATTTGATGAAGTAAGATTTCATATAAACTTACTGCTATAGAATCTAGAAAATACAAATGCTTTATTCATCTGAACGGAAACTTACGTAGAGGAGAAACCTAGGCACACATATACCAACAAGATGAACAGCAACTGAGCCAACAACAACAACATCAACAACAACACGAACAACAACATGAAAAACAACAACACGAACAACAACAACATGAACAACAACAACATGAACAACAACAACCTGAAAAACAACAACACGAACAACAACATGAACAACAACAACATGAACAACAACAACATGAACAACAAAAACCTGAAAAACAACAACACGAACAACAACATGAACAACAACAACATGAACAACAACAACATGAACAACAACAACCTGAAAAACAACATGAACAGTAACAACAACATGAACAACAACAACCTGAAAAACAACAACACGAACAACAACATGGAACACAAAACATGAACAACAACATGAACAAGAACAAAAACATCAACAACAACAACATGATCAACAACAAAACCTGAAAAACAACAAAACAAACAACATGAAGAACAGAAACAATATGAACAACAACAACAAGAACAACAATGACTTAAACATCATAAACAACAACATGGTCAACAACAAAACGAACAACAACAACACGAACAACATGAACAACAACACAAACAACAACAACACAAACAACAATAACATAAACAACAACAACACAAACAACAACAACACAAACAACAACAACACGAACAACAACAACACAAACAACAACAACACAAACAACAACAACATGAACAACAACATGAACAACAACAACAACAACAACAACAACAACATGAACAACATGAACAACATGAACAACAACAACATGAACAACAACAACATGACCAACAACAACACAAACAACAACAACATGACCAACAACAACACAAACAACAACAACATGAACAACAGCAACAACATGAACAACAACATAAACAACAACAACAACAACATGAACAACAACAACAACAACAACAACATGAACAACAATAACATGAACAACACAAACAACAACATGAACAACAACAACACAAACAACAACAACATGAACAACAGCAACAACATGAACAACAACATAAACAACAACAACAACATGAACAACAACATGAACAACAACATGAACAACAACATGAACAACATGAACAACAACATGAACAACAGCAACATGAACAACAACAACATGAACAATAACAACGACACGAACAACGACAACATGAACAAAAACAACAACATGAACAATAACAACAACATGAACAACAATATGAACAACAACAATATGAACAACAACAACACGAACAACAACAACAAAAAACATGTACTGTGATACTAAACATCACATAACAGTTATCTCACATAATCTATGACTGTGTGTATGTGTTTATGTGTGTGTTTGTGTGTGGGAAATTTGGGGGAAGGGGTAATATTTTACACTGAGTTGGCGCCCGAGTTCAGTCTAGTATTATGAGCGCGATGCTTGAATGTTGGACGGGAATGTTGGACGGAAATGTTTGGTTGTAATGTTGGATAGGGATGTTGGAAGGGAATGTTGGACCCGATTATTGGATGGGAATGTTGGATGGGAATGTTGGACACAATACTATCATGGCTTCCACGTTCAATTTCTGTGTTTCACCAAACAAAGAGGTTCGTGACGTCATCGTATTGGTACGAACAGCCCGCGTCACAATGGACGAGTCCATTCCATTCAAAAGGCGGAGAAGCTATTTTTTAAAAAAATATTTATGAACGCGATAATTTTTTCCATAGGAGACAAGCTTATTCTAACCCAGGTGTGGGCAAACTCATTCTAGCCCAGTGGTCGGCAAACTCATTCTAACCCAGTGTTGGGCAAACTCATTGTAAACCATTGGTCGGAAAACTCATTCTGACCCAGTGGTGGGAAAACTCATTGTAAACCATTGGTCGGAAAACTCATTCTGACCCAGTGGTCGCCAAACTCATTGTAAACCATTGGTCGGAAAACTCATTCTGACCCAGTGGTCGGCAAACTCATTGTAAACCAGTGGTCGGAAAACTCATTCTGACCCAGTGGTCGGCAAACTCATTGTAAACCATTGGTCGGAAAACTCATTCTGACCCAGTGGTCGGCAAACTCATTGTAAACCAGTGGTCGGAAAACTCATTCTGACCAAGTGGTCGGCAAACTCATTGTAAACCATTGGTCTGAAAACTCATTCTGACCAAGTGGTCGGCAAACTCATTGTAAACCATTGGTCGGAAAACTCATTCTGACCCAGTGGTCAGCAAACTCATTGTAAACCATTGGTCGGAAAACTCATTCTGACCCAGTGGTCGGCAAACTCATTGTAAACCATTGGTCGGAAAGCTCATTCTGACCCAGTGGTCGGCAAACTTATTCTAAACCAGTGGTCGAAAAACTCATTCTGACCAAGTGGTCGGCAAACTCATTGTAAACCATTGGTCGGAAAACTCATTCTGACCCAGTGGTCGGCAAACTTATTCTAAACCAGTGGTCGAAAAACTCATTCTGACCAAGTGGTCGGCAAACTCATTGTAAACCAGTGGTCGGAAAACTCATTCTGACCCAGTGGTCGGCAAACTTATTCTAAACCAGTGGTCGAAAAACTCATTACTCAAGAAAGCAAACATTCAGCAGCAGGACGATTTAAAAAAAAAAAAATTTGAGCGCCACATTTCTTTTCAAGACCGTGTAAAGAACCATGTTTTTCGGAGTTAAAACCGATTCGTGGCCGACTGGCCGAGCCACACTCAGGTCGCCAAAGACCCGCATGCGGCTCGCGAGCCGCGATATTCCGACCACTGTCCTAACCGAATAAATAAACGTAAGTGGCAGACAATAGTCTATAGTTACTTACTTTATGCATGGCTTTGTGGATTTGAGAGGAAAGATCCGAAAAGGTTCCTTTAATGGACTCTTCCGGACTGAGGTATGTTTTTGCAAGGTAGTTCCCACAAGCGTATTGATACATGTCCTCACAAGGGTCTACACTCAGGTTCATTTTGCTCAAGATTCGTGCGCTTGTCTCGACGCACTTCTTGGACAGGCAAATCTGTTGACCCCGAATGGAAAGAGCTATGTTGGTAAATGATACTGCAACAAACTGCAATGGTTGGCTATAAAAGGGCCGGGCATGCGCAGACCCCGATCTAGTGCCACTGATGATGATGATGATGATGTTGGGGTTTGGGTTACAGAAATAATTTTTTAAAAAAAACGTTTAAAGGTTGAACAAATAATAAACCAACACATTTAAATGGATCCACAGTGATTCTCAAAGAACAGATCATGAGGCTCTGATGTCACTACGATAAAGGGTCACATGTTACAGAGCCGCCACTGATCTGTCCGTGTCACCGAAAATGCATGACGCCCAAACTGATCTGTCAGTGTCACTGCAACAACATGGCGTCCTTCTCGATCTGTCAGTGTCACTGTAACAACATGACGTCCACACTGATCTGTCAATGTCACTATAACAACATGACGTCCACACTGGTCTGTCAGTGCCACTGCTACACATGACGTCGCCACCAAACTGTCAATGCCATTGCAACAACATGACGTCCACACTGATCTGTCAGTGCCACTGCTACACATGACGTCCACACTGATCTGTCAGTGCCACTGCTACACATGACGTCTCCACTAAACTGTCAATGCCATTGCAACAACATGACGTCCACACTGATCTGTCAGTGCCACTGCTACACATGACGTCCACACTGATCTGTCAGTGCCACTGCTACATATGACGTCTCCATCAAACTGTCAATGTCATTGCAACAACATGACGTCCACACTGATCTGTCAGTGCCACTGCTACACATGACGTCCACACTGATCTGTCAGTGCCACTGCCACACATGACGTCCACACTGATCTGTCAGTGTAAATGTTTATTTCCAAAGTTTCCCAAGGAACGTCTAAACATGGACTATTTGTGGCGGGTCGACAGTGTCAAGGTCACCCTTGAAGTCCACAACGGTAACCGCAAGCAGTCCTCAAACCTTGTGGCAGAGCAACAACTAATATGTCCCCGTGACCACCCCCCCCCCAACCCACAAATTTAAATGTTAGAAAATGGGACCGGAGAAGGGGGAAAGAAGTTTTTACAGCAGTTACCTGTTTAGCCTCATCGCTCTTTACAAACATGAGGACAAGGACACCAAAGAAGAGTGCCAGGGAGACGATGACGATGAGGTGGAGGATGACACACATGGTCCACACCGTGCTCATGAGCGATGTCACGATGATCTTGCACGCGCTGCGTTTCACCAGCGTGTTGTTGACCTTCTCCACGTGGATGTCGATGAACTTGCTCTGGTGTGTCCCGGGGTGCGCGACGAGTGGGTGCTCCGCCTTCACCGTGTCGTCATCGCTGTAGGGGCTGTAGGGGCTGGGGCTGTCATCTACACACATGTGTTCACCGGAAGCCCCGTTCCGCTCTCTGACGCCCCTCGTGTCCCCTGTCACATTCTCTTTCGGCGCCGCTGTCAGATCTTTAGATATCTTCTCTTCTTTGGTAAACATCTCCTCGGAGCCCGGCCTCTCGGCGGCTTTCTCGTCTGCCCCAGCTTTCTCTGCCGGCGCGTCATTCTCTTCCACAGACGTCTTCTCCTTTCTAGCCTCCTTCTGATCTTTGGACGACCTCTCCTCTTTGGTCGGCATGTCGTCTTGAGCTGACTCATGTCTACCAGAAGGTGAAGCCCAGGACACGGTGGTCGCCATCGACGCTTCTGAATTGATATTCATGACGTAATAGCTTAGTTGTCTCAATGGTTGCGTGGCACTGGACGTACCAACAAGCACAATGTCTGAAAGGGAATAAAACTGATTTGATGTAGGTCTTCAATTGCGTCTAGTCAAATATGTGCTGCTAATAAGGGGGGAGACTGCAATCAGGTTAGCAAAATAGGAAATGAGTAAAACAAAGTAAGGTCAAACCTGACAAAAGGAACGCAATAAAAACAACGAACGTGTCGGCAGGAAGCCTTCGTCAAACAACAGAAAAACAGAATAAAATTAAAGAAATAGCACTTAGCAGAGGAGTAGTCTCAGAAATGGCAGCCAAAGCAATGTTTGATACAATTGAGGTCTGAACAAGTCTCAACGTCTAAGATTGAAATTCAAATCTCAAACCACTCAAACAAATTAGTGCCTTAACGTTGATACAGTTACACAATGAATTCTAGTAGTAATGTAAGTGTAAGTTTTACAGTGAGTAATACCAATTCATACGTATGGCCTGGTCAGATTGTCTGAAACTGTTATCATCACATAGTGTGGATAGTAGAGACCGACCGAATTTCGGCTTCGGTTTCGGCGCCGAAAGTGGCCATTTTATCACCTCCGGCCACGTTTCGGTTTCGGCCGAAACTAAAAAGTTAACTTTCGGCTTTATTTCGGTTTCGGCCGAAATTGACTTAGACTCAGGTTTTCGGTCATTTTATACTCATCGAAAGCGATATTTAACAACAAACTAAGCGACATTTAAGAACAAACTAAACAATCTTTAAAACAAACTAAATGATCTTTAAGAACAATCTAAGCGATCTTTAATAACAAACTAAACGATCTTAAAGAACAAACTAAATGATTTTTTAGACCGAACTAAATGATCTTTAAGAACAAAACAACTGATCTTAAATAGTAAACTAAATGATTTATAAGAATAAACTAAGCGATCTTTAACAGAAAACTAAATGTTCTTTAGGAACAAACTAAAGGATCTTTAAGAACAAACTAATCAATCTTTAAGAACAAACTAAACGATCTTTAAAAACAAACTAAGCGATCTTTAACAACAAACTAAGCGATCTTTAAGATTAAAATAAGCGATATTTTAGAACAATCAAAGCGATCTTTAACAACAAACTAAGCAATCTTTAACAACAAACTAAACAATCTTTAACAATAAACTAAACGATCTTAAACAACAAACTAAGCGATCTTTAAGAACAAACTAAATGATCTTTAACAACAAACTAAGCGATCTTTAACAACAAACTAAGCGATCTTTAAAAACAAACTAAGCGATCTTTAAGAACAAATTAAGCGATCTTTAAGATTAAACTAAGCGATATTTTAGAACAATCAAAGCGATCTTTAACAACAAACTAAACGATCTTTAACAACAAACTAAACAATCTTTAACAGTAAACTAAGCGATCTTTAACAACAAACTAAGCGATCTTAAAGAACAATCTAAATGATCTTTAACAACAAACTAAGCGATCTTTAACAACAAACTAAGCGATCTTTAAAAACAAACTAAACGATCTTTAAGAACAAATTAAGCGATCTTTAAGATTAAACTAAGTGATATTTTAGAACAATCAAAGCGATCTTTAACAACAAACTAAACGATCTTTAACAACAAACTAAACAATCTTTAACAATAAACTAAGCGATCTTTAACAACAAACTAAGCGATCTTTAAGAACAAACTAAATGATCTTTAACAACAAACTAAGCGATCTTTAACAACAAACTAAGCGATCTTTAAGAACAAATTAAGCGATCTTTAAGATTAAACTAAGCGATATTTTAGAACAATCAAAGCGATCTTTATGAACAAACTAAACGATCTTTAACAACAAACTAAACAATCTTTAACA